TTGGACCAGACATAAGAACCACAAGATGCAGACATCGGAACCAAGACAAATTAAGGTTTTTCGCCTATTGACCTGCTATCACAAGACTCAGAAACTCTTCATCGACCTGAAGTGTCAAAGAGATAATAACCTCCCCAGAGTTATTTTAAAGTTACATAATTTAATAAAGTTAATTCATTTTACATAAAAAATATTTTAAAATAATATTAAATTTTTATACAAATAGATTAACTAAAGAATCATTGACAATTTCAATTACTCTGTTTAAATGTTAAATTCGAGTTCTTGAAAATGTATGCTAACAAGATAGTAAATATAGCAATTTTTATTTTTCTAAAAGAAATTGTATCATTTTTCGGTTTCAGTTTTAAATATGCAACACTAATTTTTAGGTACTCATTTTAATTTTTATGTGTGTGTGTATATATATATATATATATATATATATACATATATATTTATTTATTTATTTCTTGCATCTTGTAAAATAATTAAAAAATATGTTACTTGGAACTAAGCAATTATTGCATTCTGATAACCACATTGGAAATATAACAAATAGCTATTGACATTAAATGAAACAATGTTGTACTTTTAGGCTATTAGTTATCACAGATAATAATGTAAAGATAAAAAATAGATTTCAAATTTTACATTAAATTTTACATTAAAAATCAATCCAATCCTTTTAATTATAAAAATGATTATTTATTCCAATCAAAATGAATATACAAAAATAAATCAACATTAAAAAACTCAATAAAGATACTGTAAAAAATTTAAATTATACAGTTTAGTTCCTAAAACATGAGTAATGATGCTAGTATTATATACTATTAAAAAGGCATTATATGTAAAACATTGTAAATTATTAATAGTATTTTTTGTGAGTTATTTTTTTAAAACTGTCATGTGTATAAACTATATATTGTAGAATACGGTGTTCAAAACAAGTTTTTACATTTAACACATCTGTTTATATCTAAATTGATTAATTTATTTGTTGATTTAAAATCAGAAAATCATCCTAAAGTATCTTAAACTTTTTAAGTGCACTTTGAGTAATTGATAATTAATTCTTATCGATTCAAAATTCTACATTCTAATTTCATTTTTTAATGTAATTAATATTAATATTATTTTTCACAAATTAACTTGTAATAATTATTTAATGATTTTTAAATAAAATTTTAAAATAAATTGGTATATATATATATATATATATATATATATATATTCAAATAAATAAATATTTTGAAACAAAATTTTATTTTTAAAATTTTTAAAACTTCAAATGTATGAATTTTTAGAATTTTTCAATGAAAAAGTTATATTATTTCTTTTATTTTTTATATAAATCTTATGTAATACTATTTTTAATTACTTTTGATATGTTTCATGTTACAAAAATAAGAATTTAAGAATTTTGATAGTCATTTTATTTTTATTAATATAAATATAAAATATTTGTAGCTATTTAATTAGTATTTATTTAGTATATTATAAGTTCTACATTAATTTTAGATAAGAAAAACTTACTTATGTACAAAATATATCAATGTCTAATAGATAAATAAATAAAGATAGTTTTAATTAGGTTTTCATGTGTATATATATATATATACACATATCTTATATTAAACAGCTCAAGGGAGATAAATCTATGGAATAAACTAGAAGAGACAAAAATCATTTCTGATTGGCTGCATATTTCATTGTTTTCATCAAAAGTTATGTAAAAGCAAAACAAAAGTGAAGAAATAACTCAACTTTTGATCAATAAAATATAAAATTCTAACATGAAGTTTTTGAGGGAGAATCAGTTTGAGTATAGACCGGAAAGAACATTATTGAATGCTTAGTACTGCTCAAAGTGTAAGAATTGGTTGTAAAAGTGGAGAGGGATGATTGACATAAAGGAGGAAAATTAGAGTTTAGATGTTGTAAAGAAGGAAGAGTGTAGGAATTAGGAGTTCATGGGTTTAGATATGGCACTTAACTTTAGCTTGCAAGTACAAGAGGGGGCGCAATTTACACAACAGCTACCACATTAGATGATTATGTCAATGTTTTTTTTGTGCCCCATATTAATGGAGCTAATGCAAAATCTCATGATATTATGTGCAAGAATGACATTTGACCAAGCCAATATAGAAAGGTGGCATGAACTTAGACACAACATGTGCCTTGCAACTAATCTACTTCTTGAGATTTCGTAACAATAACATAGATTCAGCTAAAATATATATATATATATATATATATATATATATATTATCACATATATATAAAAAATTAAGAAAAAATAATAAAATTTATGATGTATAAAATTATAATTTGGAATTTAATTAAACACATTGTATAGTAATTTTATTTCTATAATTTTTGTAATAATTATTTTTAAAATTTAATCTTGTGTAAATAAATATATTAAATACATTAAAAATAAAAGTAGATAATATTTTATATTTAAAATATATGATTTATGAATTACAAAAAAAAGAATTATATATCAAGTTGATTGATTTTTTTGTTTTGAATTATGATCTTTTATAATAAAATTATTGAGACAAAAATATCAAAATTAAATACACACACACATACCTACATACATACATACATATATATATATATATATATATATATATTTTATTGAAGCTACTATTTGTTTGTGTGATACCCATTTGATAAAGTTTATTGACATCTACATTGTTTGTTATCTTTTTAATGATGTCTATTGACATCATGATTGATTGCAATGTTCACATTCTTCTTCTTCTTTTGTTAATTTAATTATGTTTAAACTTAACATCCTCTCAGTCCTCATTTCTAGTACTTGTCTCCCATCAATTGGCAGCTTCTCCTTCACTTAAATGCTTTTTTTCATCTCTTCGCTTATTAAGGTTTTGACCCACAATTGCTGTGAAAGGAAAAACAAGAGGAGTATCTCTTGTAGATGTTGCATTCTGTTCCAATAAGAAACCACTCTACTCATTTTAAAATTTTCTAAAATATTAGATAATTAACAAACGTCATCAAGAAATTATTACATTTTATTTTTATTCAATGTAAAGCAAAGGCTCAATGTTAATATAAATTAAAATCACAATTGTATTTTTTTAGATAAATAAAATTATAATTATACAAAAAGATTGAATAGCTTGATGATTTTGTAATAAAAATTAATTACAATGATTTTAAATTTTATATACAATATTGATATATTAATAAAAATAATTAAAATATTTTAAGTATATTTTAAAATTTACCTAATTCCTTTCAATCAAGTTCAATTAAAAATCAAATTTGAACAATGATTAAAGTCTTCAAAAATCAAATGTATCTTTGTAAAAAAAAATTAAAAATAAAAATAGATGTAATTAATCAAATGTTAGATTATTAAAGCACTTTATGTTTATTTTTTATTTATCAAATTTTAAAATCTTTTGATTATTGCATAATATCATTGCCTTACCCAAAAATATATATATATATATATATATATATATACAAATAAAAATTCAAATCTCAACTAGTTGAGTTTTTTTCTTTTATTTGATATACAAGTCATGTACAAGTTGATGTCCTTGATGTGTTGGTATCGTTAAAAGAGTATCGGATAATAAAGACCACACAATTCTTGCAATAAAAGTACTAGAGCAAAGGAAACTGTCAAAGATTGATCAGGATGTGATGTACAAATATTTTGGGAGCACAAATTTTAATAAGAAAAATAAATAAATAAATAATCCTTCAACTACCATTTAATTGAAATGTTGACAACAAACAGATTTTAATTGAATTTGAGAAAAGGACTTCACAACATTTGTAAAAAAGAAATGAAACAAAACAAAAAGATTTTACTTATATCAATATCAATGTTTTTTTGTTACTATTTCAACAATTTCAATCATAGATCAATACTAATGTTTTAATCTATTTTATTTTTTTGATATATTTTAAATTATATTTTAAGATTTTTTAAGTAATTTTTATACAATATTTAGCCTTATTTTTTTGAATTTATATCAAAAAAGTATAAACCTAAAGCCAAAATATTAACTGTTTAGTTTTATCTTTATTTTTTTCTTCAATTAGAAACTTCTATCCAATATGTTTATTAATTCTTGGCTTATCATGGCTTAACATATTTCAATGCTTAAATTTTTTTTAAATCATTTATACTAAAATATTATTATCTTATTTTATTGAAGATATGTATGTGTATCATGTATGTATATCATGTATGTATATGTTTATATATTCTTGTTGTTAGTAGATATATATTTCAATATTCATTACAACATAAATTTAGCATCATAATGAACAATCAAATTGTCATGAAAAAATATATAAAATATATAAAAACACCCTAAAATTCCATAAAACAATAAAACCACACATAAATTTTGTGAAAGGGTCAAATCAAGAGAAACTCACCAATCCACTTCATTTTCATATGTTCAAGCTCTTATAATTCCCATATGTGCTCTCATTCAACTCCCACCAATTAAACTAAGAAACAAAACCAAACAAGAAGAATAAATACACACACACACACACATGAGAAAAAAAGAAAAAAAAGAAAAAAAAGATATTTATCCATGCCAAGAGCCCCAAACCCTAATCCCCCCTCACCCCACCCCACCCCACCCTAATTCAGAAAGACGCATCACCGCGAGCGCTGTGGACGAAGATGCGAGATGCGCACCAGGCGTAGCCTCGTGTCGCAGGTCGCCAGCGTGGTGAGTTGCGGGATTCGGAATCAGATCCGCAATCGGAATGATGTTCCAGGAGCTTCTGGCCAATACCCAGCTAACGAGCTTTTCGTGGTGGGTCCTATCCATCCCCCGGCGCTGCTTCGCACGGCCCACGCCTCACCTGAAGATGGATGACGCCACGATGCTTCCTTCGAAGCGTCCTCCTCTTCTGGGTCACTCACTCACACTCCCTCACCAACCGCCACAATTCCCCCACTCCCCCTGGAGCTTTCCTGAAAAGGCCCCGCAATTTCATCCCCTCCTAACCCCACAATCTCTGTCCCCAGCATTTTCCGTCTCTGGTTCCGACGAATTCTTGTTATTCTGGAAGCCTTTTCGGCAGTAGCTGCGCCGATATCCTTGTGGGATTATAAAGTGTCGTGTGAGGTCATCGGTGGTTCATATTCCTGTTGCCAGTTTTCGAATTGGTGTTATTTAACTGCACGACGAGCGAGAAGTATTTGCTTTTGTGTAAGGTTGGACTAGTTCAGGTGATTTGAACAGGTGTTGAGTGTATTTGTTTTTTAGATCAGTGTTTGGAGAACTTTGGCAGTTTGTTGCGAAGATGGGTCACGGAGCAGCTGCGTCGTTGTCAGTTGAGGGCAGCATTGGGGCCATTCCTGACAATTCCATTCCGCAAGTTGACGTGGAGAAAATGCCGTTGCTGTCGCCTTACCAGCTCGGTCCATTCAAGCTGTCGCACAGGTTTGTGGTTTTTGATCGAGAGTCCTAAAGCTCAGAGTTCGGTTTTGGTTGCGTCTGTGTCCTGAGTTCCGTAGGTTTGTCATCGTGGGCGTGAAGGGGAGGTTACGAAGGTTTGTGTCTCTTGACAATTTTTCTGATTGTAGCTGATGAATTGCCTTACGTTGTTTGCAGAGTTGTGCTAGCTCCGCTTACCAGGTGCCGGTCATACGGATGTGTGCCGCAGCCCTCCCATGCGGCACTGTATTATGCGCAGCGCACCACACCTGGCGGACTCGTCATCACTGAAGCAACCGGTATCGATGCAACCTCAAACGGGTACCCACATACTCCAGGAATTTGGACTCAGGAGCAGGTGGAGGCATGGAAACCGATTGTGAAGGCGGTACATGATAAGGGTGGAATCTTCCTCTGCCAGATTTGGCACGTCGGCCGGGTTTCTCACACTTGTAAGTTATCAGCCGCAGATTACATTGTGCATGTAGAAGATGACACCCTAGCTTGCTCGAATTTCGTGCCCAAAGCATCAAATTGCGTGGGGTTTTCAGTTTCCCAACCTTCCTAAATTTTTTTCAGAGCGACTTAGTTCTCAATTTCACGCGTTTCGCATTGACTTGTGCACAGCATATCATCCAAATGGAGCCGCGCCACCTTCTTCCACCAACAAGGCCATCAAGGAGGGCGTGGTGTACCTGCCAACAGCGGACGGAGCGGCCCCATACTCTACCCCACGAGCCTTGGAGACAGACGAGGTCGCGGAATACGTCGACCATTTCCGCAAGGCCGCACGCAATGCCAGGGAAGCAGGATTTGACGGAGTCGAGATTCACGGCGCACACGGGTATTTGATCGACCAGTTCCTGAAGGACGGGATAAACGACAGGACAGACAAGTATGGTGGTTCTCGGGAGAACCGATGTCGATTCATGGTCGAAGTCGTCGAAGCAGTGACAAAAGAAATCGGCGCCGACAGGGTTGGGATCCGAATCTCCCCTTTCACGAACGTAGTTGATGCATCGGACTCCGACCCGAACGGATTGTCGGTGTACATCGCCGAGACTCTAAACCGATACAACCTGCTATACTTGCACGGCGTGGAGCCCAGGTTCCACCCGGAGAGGACTGTGCAGTCCGAGGAGAGCTTGTGGCCCATGAGGAAAGCTTACAAGGGCAACTTCTTAGTTGCAGGTGGGTACAGCAGCGAGGATGCCAACGAAGCCATCCGGAGTGGCAAAGCAGACATGGTTGTGTTCGGCCGACTGTTTCTAGCAAATCCTGATCTTCCCAAGCGAATTGCGCTCAACGCTCCGCTTAACAAATACGACAGATCGACATTCTACACCCAAGATCCCGTTGTTGGGTACACCGACTACCCGTTCCTCGGTGAAGTGGTGCAAGCTTGATTTGTCAGCTTGCATGGTTTTGTTTATAATTTTCTTACACAACAGCACCTCTTGCCAATTGGCCACGTTTCTAAGGTAATTTTTACGTCTGTGCTGAGTTGGCTGTTGCGATGCCGTGCACACTTGGTGCTAATTACGATTAATTGGGTATTAGGGTAGATTCTCAGGCACGTTTAGATTCATGGTTATGTAAAATTCTTCTTTCAGATGCGGTTGTTACATCTTATAATCATATTGATTCTCACGAGACAGAGAAAGTATTTTAACTATCGAATCGATTATTGTTTTACAAAATAGATGAAATTGTTTTCAATAACCTTCATGTATTTGTATTGGAAATGTAGAAGATATATTAAATATACATTTAATGGTAATCACAGATATATATATATATATATAAATATATAATTTTTCACTTTGAACGGGCTGTTGACAAAATATAGATTTTTAACACTTTTTTTCTTTTATTTGTTACTAAGATAGTTAGTATTTTGATTTTTTTAATGTGATCGTGTATGTCAATTAGTGGAACTGAAAGGAGGATGTCGGTTATCTTGATTTGATTTTTTATTTCTAAGACAATTTTTTTAGAATTATCATTTGATGTTGAAGAATTATGTAAAGTTATTTTTGAATTATGATTACAGCACAAGGTTGTAAAAAACTATTTGAGACACCTTTGAAATATGATTTTTTAAAGAACTACACAAGTCTTAAATTATCATGTAAAAAAACATGTATCAGAAAGAATTTTCATTTACTTTCATTAAAATCAGATCAGAACAAAACGAATTAATGAAATCACAATCATAAATAGTATTTTAAGATTTCAAAAACATCAAATTCAAATGGCCAAAGTAAAATAATTCATTGAGTAGAATGTAATGCCAGACAAGAAGATTGTATTCTTACAAACTTATGAAAATGGCCATCTTTGAATACAATTTGAACTAAAAACTTTGTCCTATTCCTTTGAGGATTTATTACGTAATTTAGTGTAATAATAGTGTCTTTACGGATGACATATAAATAATATGAAGATAAAATTAAATTTAAAATATAAATATTTCTATGGAATATGAGTTAAAAATAATAAAAAAAGTTTTAGTAAACTTTTAAAAGCACAATTTTTTATCAGGTAATTGTTAAAAAAAATAAATCAGAAGAAATGTAATTTTTACTAGAAACAACTATTAATTAAAAAAATAAAAATAGAAAATCAATAACTTAAAAGAAAACTTGAAAACTTGAAATAAATCCTAGAAATCTTTAAAAGAAAAACAAGGATCCTGTATACACCACTTCCTTCTAACTTTCGAATTAAAATATAAGTAACAGTAATTAGATTACTATATATATATATATATATATATATATATATTTATTCATAAAATAATAATGATAATCTAACATCATGGGTTCACAAAAAAAATTAATTCTTTCCAACTGTTATTTTAGATGTATATTCATTAACATATAAAATTAAAAATTAAAAAAAAATATTTGATTTGCAATTAATTCTACTCTGACTTTTTACATTACATCTCTTACAAACTTTTTTCTATCCAATAAGTCATAGTTACACAGTTCCTCTTTTACCTACTTCATTTCACCAACTTTATTTTGCATGACAAAAATACCAAAGTACAAATAACCTTTTTTTGGACATATAAATTTTTCAAAATATTTATACAAAATTTATTCATAATCATTTAGTTATATGTAAATTCTTACTCTAAATTCTATATTATTTCATTCAATTCGAATTTTTTTTTTGTTTTTTTTGTTTTTTTGGTTAAATTTTGCAAAAATATATATATATATATATATATATATATATATATGTATATATATTTTAGATCAAAATTATGAGCTTAAATGTTTAAATTCACAATCTTATTACTAAAGATTTTTTGGCAATTGACATTGTTATAAAACCTAGAATACTAGAAATTATTTGAGATAAGTAAGAAGAAAAGATTCAATTATTGTTGTACAATATTAAAAAAGAATAGCTACTATTAAAGTATTTTAATGCCACCTCTTCTTTATGCATTGCTATCAAACAAGTTGGTCAAAAATTGTTTGCTTGAAATTTTGCTATTATATCTTATGGATTAATTATATTTTTGTAAATATTAGAAGTTTAGGATTTTAATATTTGTCATTGAGATTATAAAAAAATATATATTATGATAAATAAATATTATTGACAAAATAACAACTCCCATGTTTACAACAATTGTTGTTATTAGTTAGTATTATAAAGGATTGAATGTACTTATAAATGTATTTATTAATTTAAAAATACTGTTATGATGACAGAAGATTTGGATTGAAAATTTAAGAGTTTTTTTGTGCTCTACCAAAGGACAATAGAATTCCTGCATTGTTGAAATATATAAAAACACATATATGGTAGAAGAAATATTCAAAATTGAAAGAAATCGCCAATAAATTTAACAATAGAATTTCATATAACTTAGGATTTTCTTATTGGAAATACATAAAATAAAGTCAAATTGAATTTATACAAAAATAACCAATAAGTAAATTTTATACAAATAGAAATATATATTGTATAAAATGAAGAGTAAAAATTATAATTTAAATCTTTATTAGGACGAAAAGTTGTTCTAGTATCTAAACATGAGGATTTGGTTAATTATTCTATTTTTTTCATTTAAGAACATATAAAAATGTAATATGGATTTTAAAAGAAGCTAAGACTTTCAAGATGAAGCACGCCCTATTAAAAATGTGCAAAATAAAGATACAAAATGATAGAAAGGATAAGAAGAACAATGATTCTTATTAGGTTTCTTATAATACTTGACCTTTTATATTCTTTATCAAAAAAATAAAAATAAAAATAAAAATCTATTATGGAACTTGTGAATAATAAATAAAATAATATTTGCAAAGAATCTAGTTTGATAAAAATAAACTTATGTACAAGGTTATTGCTACCATAGACAATAATGTTTCTATTAAGGCTTTTAATAATAGAACATCTATACTCTTTACTAAGATGCAAAAAACTTATCTTTATATTTTCTAATAGAATTGTTATAAATTTTTACTTTTAAAAAATGCCAATATCAGCACTAAAGAAAATTTTGCAATTCAAAAACATCAATAATGATTCAAAAAGGTTTTGTGAAAGTGGCAATTGACATGATACACATATGTAAGAGCATGTCTTGTAAGTCAAGGTTTATAGACAAAAGAGAGTAGAAATGGCTAATACGTCAATAAGAAGCAATTCAAGTGTTTTAGAAGAACTTATTAGTAAACCTTGACCGAAAAAGCTTAAGAAAGTATTTTTAATTCTTATAATCATACTTTTAATAATAATACTTTTAAAAAATTAAAGATTTTCCATGTAGGATGCTTCTTTAATCTTATCATTAATTTTATTTTATCAATAGAGATTAATAATGCTCTCACTAAGATGATTGGTACTTTAATTTTAAAATAAAATCTATTATTTTAATAATTTAGTAAGATAAGAGGACTTAAAATGCTTATTAGTTGAAAATAAAGGAATGAAAGTATTTCACTATGTTTTTTGGTAACATGGCTATTAGATGAAAAAAAAAATTAAAAAAAAAAATTATAGAAAAACTTAATTGAAAATGTAGTAGAAAATTACTTTAGGAAATATAGGTAAAATTAGGGAGGTAGTAAAAACATTTAGTGTTAATGCCATTTTTTTGTAAAAGAGTTTTTATATAATTTTTAAATCCATAAATAAGACAAAACAAAGTAGGTTAGCAAAAATAATATCATAGGTATTTTTAACTAAAATTAAAGAGTATCTTACAGAAAAAATCACTAAAAATACCTTTGATTGATACTTGTTCAAGACTTACTATGAACCAAGATTGAAACCGAAGGCACAAAACCATACACCTATGGCAAATATGGGGATCTTTTGTTAATCAAAGCGCAAAGTTAGAATGCAAAATTGACAAGGTTTCTTTTAGTGTTGGTTTTAAGGAAATAATGAATTTGTGAGAGCTTTGCAAAGTCAAGGTTGTTTTGGATGACTTTGTTTTTTTAAAAATAAAAATGAGATAATATTTTTATAAATTATAAGAGTTTTTTAGCAAATCTATAGGTGAATTTTTATTATTTTTGTAAAAATATTTATATTGGATGTGTGTTTTAAAATTAAATTAATTAAAAAATGAAATCAAAGTTTATTGAAATCTAAGTGAGTTAGGATCTCAAAAATTAGATTTTTATGATCAATGAAGTTTTCTATGATTTTAAGCAATCTAATATTTTAATTAAAATGATTTTTTTTTAAACTAGTAATTGATTTAGCTTAAAATTTTTATACAAATTATTGAGAATAAGTAAATAATGTAAAAAGAAGCTATTAACATTAGAAAATTTATATTATAGTTGGAGAGGGAGGATAGTTGACATTTGAATAGATTAAGAACATTTTTTTATTCTACAAGTTTGGTTCTTTTCAAATATTTTGTATTTGTTGTCAATTATTAGATTTTAAAGTTAAATTTTTTTTAATTAAGAATAATAATTGAATTAATGATTATAGAGGTTTTAAATTTTTTTTGAAGTTTATTTAGGATTAAATAAGATTTTATTGGAATTTTTTAAATATTTAGTTAAAGTTTGATTAGTATTTTTTTTGGAACTATTTTAGATTGATTTAGATTTATTTAAAATTTGATTAGAATTTGATAAGAATCTATTAGGATATACTTAAATGTCGTTAGAATGAAGTTAGAATTGATTAGGATTTAATAGGTTTGCTTATGGATTATTTAGGATTGTTATAGGCTTTTTCATATTTCTTTTATGATTTTTTAAGAAATGATTAGGATTCTTTTTGGATTATTTAATATTATTTAAGGTTTATATAAAATTGATTGGATTGCAATAAGATTTTTTTAAGATTTTTTAAAGTTGATACAAGGAACTTAGTAAAATTAGAAGCTTACTTAGGTTATTCAAGATTGCTATAAACATGTTCTTAAACACCTTATGCATTATTTTTGGGTTGTAAATCTAACTTCAAGGTAAAATCAAAACCTTCCACAACTAAATACTCAATCCATTTGTAAGGCGATTTTTGCATAACATGATAACAACATTATTTAAAATAATTTAAAATTTATGGATATCAATTTTTAATATATTACATAAAATTAAAATCATTAAATTTCTAATTGCAACTACTATAATGTGATTTGTATATTGAAACTTTTGGTAGTTTATCAAGTTGGAAGACATTACAAAAAACTTGTTAAGAATTTGTAAACAATAAAGCAACTTCATTATGGCATTGTATAACAATTCAACGAAGTTTTTATTTGCCATGTTAATAGGAGATTTTTACAAATTGCTCCAAAACTTGTTCTTACTAGAATTTTCTTATTGCTCAAGATTTATAATTAAAAGGTGTATTACTAGAACTTATGTTTGTTGTTCAAGCACAAAAAAATTCAAAAAAAATGAGAAATATTGACAAGAGGTATTTATAGCACAACATATGTCTATTAACTATCATATACCAATTAGAAGATCCTAGACTATGTTTATTAATTAAAAGAAATTGACTTGTATTTTTCCTTACAAATATTTTTAAGTAATTTTATATTTGATTCTTTATTTTATTAATAAAAATTAACACAAATTGATTATTTATTAACTAATCTATTATTTTTTATTAATCCATAAATTAACAAAATAATATCAATATAGATATAAATTACTTTAAATAAGCGACAAGTTTTGACATGTGCAAGAAAGTTATATCATATTAATTAAGAATTTTTTTATATCTATTTTATTAACATATATTTTATTTTCAAATTTAATAGATCCAACCATCAATAGGATATAAACTTAAGTTCCAACTTTTAAAACTAAAAAAAATATATATGCAAAAAATAAGGATTTAGCCCGCACCATTATTGATCTTATGCTAAAACATGTTGCATTGAAGTCTTTACTTAAGCACCCCATGTAATATCGCATTGTCAATAATTAATTATAATAGTGAATGTAAATTAAGTTGAATAACACAATGAGGAATTGGACGGCAAAAGCCAACATTATTTAGTAGTTGGCAAAAAGTTTTAGAGTTTGATTCTAAATTTTCCTCTTTAATACTCCTTACAATTCTTTTGTCACTAATCCATTGATTATTTTAATTGTTTTGCACTATCTTTTTCCATTGTTTGTAATCTTTTGTTGTCACTCATATAATCTATTGATATCTTTTTTAACATATTATTTATTTATTCATTTATTTATTTTTTAAATAAAATATTATTAATATTTTATTGCATACAAATAAAAACTTAGAATTTGATTTTTTATTATAAATTATATTAGCAAGATTGCTTCTAAAATCAAAGTTAGCATATACTAGTATTATTTATATAAAATTAAAGAGAAGAATTATATTTGATTAGGATCTTTGATAAGGTAAATATTAAACTTTCAACAATACACTCCTATATAGAACAAGATCAAATACCAAATTCAACATCAAATTCATAGACATGCATAAAAATGACAACTATATTACTTTTTGTTTTTGTTTATTTGTTTGATTACTTGTTTTTTTTTTTGTTTTTTTTTTTTCATTTTTGCACTTGACATATAAAGATAAACATTTATAAAGAGATTCTTTTCTTCTTTCTCTTAAAATAAAGTATATTTTCTAACTAATTCAAATCCTAAAAAAAAAAAAAAATGTACACAAAAAATTCCCTTGCAAAATCCAAAAAAAAATCAAGACATTTGGAAGAAAGAACTCTTAACATATCAACATAAATAGTGGTAGTAATATTTAAAGGTTGATGTTGCCTTTCTGATTTTGATTCACATTTACTTATACTCTCATTATTTCTAAGTTGGTAGCCATAAATACATTTGATATCTATTGGAGAATAATACAAAACATCTAAGGCCATGTTATGAATTAGACATTGTGAAAACTATTCGATGTTATTCGTTCACAACCAGACAACTTTCACCTCATTGTAAGTTTTTTCTTGTTGAAGAAAATAAAAACAGGAGGAGGAGAAGGTATAAATTAGATTATAAAGGAAGCTGTCACCACAAGATAGAGAAACATGGTTTACGAGCAACCACATTCACGAAATGTGTTTAAGAACACAAACTTGTTGCACGTGAACAGTTTCAGTGACAACAAAGCGGTTACTGGTCGATGAGTCTCCACTCTAGAATGAGACAATACTAGTTTCTCTCCATCCAGACAACGAATAATCCTAATCTCTACATACTTGGGCTGCAGAACTGGCTTTCAATGCCTTAGGAAGCTTTAAGTCAGTTCAGGAGGCTTAATGCTGCGTCTGTAATAATCCTTGTTGCCCGGATCAGCACTACGATGACTTCAAGCTATGAAATCCATAGGAATTCCCAACACGAATTCTCCATAGAGGTTCTTAGCAGCAAGAAGCACTGTCATTATGAGCGGTCCCAGAATTGCACCCTGCACAAACGAGAGATGCATTAATTAACAACTGAAGCTCTGATTATACTTACCACACAGGTGGGTTCATAACAAGCAGGGCATTCATCAGGCTGATTGAAACAAGAGTAGAAGCAGGCCACTCACTTCAAGAGCAGGAGAGAACAAGGCCATTCCGCCTGCAATGCTTAATCCTGTTAGGTAACCACTGTGCCCGGGGATCTCCAGATAAATCTTCGATAAGCCATACTCCATACCATACACGTGAAGAATCACTAGCACGGCGGCCTCACCATATCGTCCCTCTAGTGCAAGTTGTGCTCCTCCTGGGATACTAGCCAGCCAGTTTGGAAACAAGGGGATCACGGGTTGCGACATTGCGAGGAATGTTGCCATGTACAAGAAGTGGATCCGAAACCATGTGAACAGGAGCCAAGTAAAAGTTGCCTGCATGCAAGCATCGCCTCACATACGTCATGAAGAAACGTCATTGCAATTGCCATTCACTCGAAAATGACAGCAAAATTGAAACCAGGAATGAAGAAAGTCAGACTGAAATCGAATAACTTCATTTACAACAGTGCACAGAAAAGAAAAAGACAAAAAAGGGTGATTGCAGTACGATTACAATACCTGGAAGATTGCAGCCTTCATCGTAGCTAAAAAGACGGAGCTTACTGCATGGTCAAGGACATCGGCACAACGGCTCCGAACAGAATCCGAGAGTGGCACCATGTTGAGCACTTGGTTCATGACACCACCTGACTCTGAAGTTATGAGGTAATACAACACCGAGAAGAAAATGATGGTCTCGGTGATGAAGTTTATCAACCCCACAGCCCCTGAAGCCATTGAGCTCCAGAAGGAGAGGACGAGGTAAAAGCACTTCCCCATCAGACTTGAGCCACTGAGCACTAGTGTCTTGCCAATGTCTGAAATTTTCTGTGTTGCTTGTTTTCCCCTTTCAATCAGATCATCTTGGCGAAGTTGAAACAGCTCAAGTCCAAGACCGGCTGCAGCCTCACCCTCTGCATAGGCCCCTCCCAAGTCATAAGTCCGTAGCTTCGCCTGTGATGCATTGTCATGATGGATCAGCGACAGTGTAGCAAAAATAGTGCAGTTGCAGGAAGATCTTTCACAGAATGGTTCCTAAGAAAGGCTCGAAGGCCAAGGCAAAATGCAGAGTTCCTGACCTTGATATTTTGAAGCCTTTCCACGAGGGGATGCGATGGCACAGCCACCGATGTAGATTCGGTCCCATTATAGACTCCAGCAACTTTTCCTTCGAGCATGATTCCACTCAAAAATTGCTTGCCAACTTTAACCGCTTCAGTCATGTTGTTCTTCGCGGCGAACACATCGATCTTGACAACGACAATAAAAGAGTCTTGGTTTGAGGTAGTACAATATGCCAAGCTTGTCACGACGGCTTATTCAAAGCAATGGAATTGTCAACAAACCACTACAGCTGTCATGAAAAGAAAGACATGAAGAGCAGAAACCACAAAAGCGACGGACCTATACTTGGAAACAATATCATTAGGACCATTACCTGCTCAAGTAAAGCCTCGTAAGCTTGGCTCATGTAGGAATCGATCTGCTGTGTTACGTTGTTCTCCTCCACCCACTTGTTGAGCCCTATTGTCTCCGCGTAGTTACTGTGATCGACGTGTATCTTGAGAGTGATAATTGCATCTTTCGCCTCCATGCCCACTTTATAGGTGAATAAGATCGAGCCGCCAAGGAAACCCACGATCATAAGAAGGATGAGCACAATCGCTACAACAGTGGGTAGTTTTGCTGCAAGTGATCGTGTTACACCCCGGTTACTCCATCTGTGAGAAACGATCGGTCAAACTGAATATATTTCTCAAAAAATGATAAGAACGTCTTTTTTTTTCTCGTCCTTCTGAACACCGTATGCACTTCAATGCTCTTCAAACATGTGTCTACCTTTCCATAGCAACGTAAGAACTAAACGACTGCAGATTTGTGAAGATTGCATAAAACATGTCAAACCACAACTTCCACGGAAACTACGAGAACATGAATGAAGACTAACCGCAGAGCGTCAACAATTGGTTGAATCGTCCACTTGTAGATCCGGGTCAAACTATTTCCAGGCTTGCCTTTCAAAGTTGGACTCCTTAATGCATTAGTTTCGAACAACGGCCACACTGTCGTCATTCCAGCGTAGAGCAAAAGCCCCACAAACACTGTGGAAACAAACACGACAGACCCAAGGAAGTCATACATAACAGTACACACCGCAAACGTGAGGAGCCACCGTGAGAGCTTTGCAAAGCCAATTTTCTTTTTGGACATAGATGGACTCCCCTTGCTCATCATGCCAGACATGCTTGATATTGCCTCTCGTGCATCGTACCCTGTCTCCGCTAGATTCTTGAGGATAAACGCTGGTATGGCCAGAATGGTCTCCAGAATCCCTGCCTGAAGAGGCTCCTGCCAAAAGCTCACCAGCAGGCTTTGAATTTCCCGGAGAGGCATAGAGATTAACACGGCCCACTGAATGGGCTTCCAGTAGCCCTTCAACAAGAGACCGATGAAGCATATAACGAGAATCCCAAGCACAAGTCCTGCGTGTGCCATGGCTATGTACAAGGCCAGCTGCGCATTGTTCACGTTCAAGGAACTTGGGTTCACAATCTGGTTAAATCTCTCGGGTCTTGCTTTGATCTTCATAGCATCCTCCCGCTTCAAGGGTTGTTGCGAATTCTCTTTCTCGCCCCCACCAGTGTCCTTTCGCATCGCCTCTGGTTCCATGGCGGGAGGGGTAGACTTGGGAAGGGAGCTGCTGCGCTCAACTACTTTGATTGGTGGATTATGCACACGAATTGGACCATCTGTTGTATGGAGTCAGTGCGGCAAAAATCAGTGGGATGCATCGAGAAGAAACTCCACTTCGACTCATTCGGTGTGATCTATGCGAGAACCTAATAGACATGCCATTTGCTCAAGAAGGAGCACTGTAGCCAGTAACTCAAATGAACAATGTAGACTTATCACAGGCAGAAAGGCATTGTTTCGTCTTCATTACAGCCAAGCCGACCACAGATCGTGTAGAAGGAGGATCGTCTTCCAGTGAATTGACCCAAACAATTCATCGCTGTGCACTGCAGTCGTTGTGGAAAAAATTGTGTTCTAAACATTGAGATAGATAGACTGCAACATTGGGAAGGGGGTGGATGATTACATGGGGGTCGTAAAGTCGAGCTGTTCACAGAACCAGCTACGTCATGCATTTCCTTCCAGGACGGAATGCGGAGCAACTCGCGATCCATGGGAAGGGGGTCTCCTCCTCCCCGCACATCGCTCCCCATTGCAAACCTCGCTTTCCTCTCTCTTTCCCAAGAGGTCACGATCCGCGAGAAATGCTACGAGACTACGGAACTCGTAAACTTCAGGAGCCTGACAGAATCATTCCCTGGCAAAATCTCAACCCTCCCAGACTAACCAAGCTCAACCTGCGAAAAGATCTGGTGCACGAACTCTCAACACATCAGCACCCAACATTGAATCTTCAAAACTTCGCCTCTCCCCCCGACAAAACTGTATAAACAAACAAACCAAGCAATCAATTCATTCATTCGACCCAGCTACCGCAACTCCACTACCCTGTCAAACACCACAGCCAATCCCTCTACCTCATGTCCACCCCCGACGAGGCCCAGATTCAACACCGATCAGAAGCACCACCAACTGTTAACTAATGAATGATTTCGGTGCAACGTCCCGCATTACCGGCGGCATAGGAATGCCCCACGAGCTCGCCGACGAATGAACGTGCAACAGGGAGAATGCAGCGCCCATGGAGCTCGTCGTGCTATATTTGAACACTCCTACCCCAGGAGATTCGATTCCCTGCATCTCAAAACACCTTTCACAAACTGGGGTTTCACCACTATGAGCTACAATCAGTGCGAAATGGGAGTGCGTTAACCAGCCATCACGAGCCTACGAGTTGGCAGACAAGCAAGCGGATTGAGACGAAACCCCCGTCGGAGAGTCCTAACAACGCAAGTCGGGGATTTCTACACTCATTTTGCAGCCGAAACTAAGAAGAGAGTCTGACTCCCTCGCAGGAGCGCTGAGTGCGGCAGCGAAGGATGAATGCGATCCGATGCAACGCGGATCGCACACCACCACCATCGCATCGCATCTCATCGCAACCGAGCTGTGAATGAATGAATGCTTGCTTGCTTGCTCGTGTGAGAGTGAAATTTTGAGTGTGAGAATTGGTTTCGCAAGCGTCGCGAGCGAGCGAGTGACCCGGCGCGTGACGTCGCCGTCGCGAGATCTAGACTTTGCTTTCGATGGCCTTTTGGAATTAGGATCACAATGACTTTTTGTGGGTTTCTCTTTTCCTTTCTTTATATATTATGATTTTTTAAATATTTTTTTCTTTCCTTTTCGTTTCTTTCCTTTTCGTTTCTTTCCTTTTCTTTTCTTTCCTTTTCTTTTTACATATTCTGTGGATTATTCTTGTCTTTTCTTTTCATATATATATATATATATAATACTTTCTCTTGTGATTGTGGAATTATGTTCTTTTCATGGACATAGCACAAGGATGATCTTTAGATTCATGATTTTGTTTTGTTTGATGTTAATTTAGGTTTTATTTGTTTTGGGAATAGTTGATTTGTAAATCATAACTAAAATATATAAAATTTATTTGTTTATATTTATTTTGTATATAGTTATATTTATATATACCTTTATTTGTTTACATTTATAGTTATATTTATATATACCTTTTTTGAAGAGATTGTTTGCAATATTTGAAGTAGTTGACTATGTCAAATGGACAAAGACTTGGTTTTTAAAGTTTTCAAAGTTTTCAAAGTTGTTATCATTTGTGATTTTATAAACTTGTTTATTAATGTTGTATTCTAAAATAGGTTAAAAATTTGTCTTTAAAGATAATAATGATTAATGGATTTTTATTTGAAATAATGTAATTCAAATTAAACAATTACATATCTAAAAAATATTAGTTTAAATTTTTGTTTACAACCATTATAATATTCTTATTGTCTTAATATTTGGTCTATTATGTATAGTTATTATTCATTATATCACATTATTATTTCATCTAATTCAACCTTTTAGAGCAAAACATAAACATATTGAAAAACCATAATAATTCTAAAGAAAATAAAATTATCAATATATTTTCATTAAGAATTTTATTAAAATTACAAATAATTAATATTTTTTGTTTCATTCTTATTAAATCTTCTTCAAATTTTATGTCACTTTTATATATTTATTTTAATACATTTTTTATACATAATATATCATAGTTATAGTTTTTAATGATATATTATTATTATTAGATTTGTTATTTATTGTATCAACTAATTATAGAGAATTTTAATACATGGATATTTTTAGTAAAGAATCAAATATATTTGTTATCAATTCAAATTTTAATATATTTGTGTGTCATTTTTTAATCATTATTATTAGATCTATGTACATTGATAATTTTAAATTAATATTTCAAATAATTATTCATAACTAATGTTAAACATATGTAAGTATATTATATATATATTCCAATAATTACTTGTATGACTACATAGAAGTGGGTAAAAGTAGACTAATTTCATAATATCTTCTAAAGAAGCTTCATAGATGTAGTTTTGACTTTACATGTATTTGTCAAATAGAAACTTGGTCAATAAGTTAGCCACGTGTCATATGTGTTGGTAGCTTATGAAATAAGCTTACTATGTTGCATACATATAGAAAACTTGAATTGTAAATTATCAAATGTGTCTTAAAATTTGGACATGTGTTAGATGCCTATAGAATGTCACTACATAACTCCTAATTAGATAGTTTATATAGAGGCAAGAATAAAGTATTTTTTACTCTTATCAATGCCTTTCTAGTCCTTAATTTTGTTTCAAGACTTTTTAGTTTCTTTGGCAATAACCATTCCAGTTTAATATTATACCATCTTTGAATGATTTTCTAGTCTTTTTGATTGACATAAAAATTTATTAAACTTATAATTCTTTGAAATTTATATTCTTGATAGCTTGACAAGAGTGCTAATTTGTTCTTCTTGTTTTATTTTCGAAGTGAGAGGATTATTTTACTTCTACTATTGTATTTTGAAGATTATAGACTATCGATTTTAAACTAACTTTTAATTTTTTAAAAACTGATTTTTTTTTTATTTTTTTATTTTATTAAAGAAAATAGACTACTTTTCTTTGTAGAAATTTTTATTTAATATTAAGAGTTGTAGATAACCTTCTTCTAATTGACTTGTGAATTTATTTGAGTCATCTATAGAAAGAAAAATTATGAATGCTACTCATGGTAGAAGTGAGAATAGATTTACAACTATTGCAGGATTTCACCAACTTATCAACACTCTAAATATCAAAAGCTCATATATTTCTAATATAAACCATGGAAGTACTATTTCTATGCCTAGGAAAGAATTCATCAATAAGATTTAGATTCTATACCAACAAGTTGTACAACTGAAAGAAGCAAGTAGATCAAGTTCACAATTGAATGCAAAAAGCCTTGTTTCTACAAGTATAAAAGAGACAAGAATAAGTAAGCTGAAGAAGTTTCATAGAATAATATCAAAATTTTGAGGATTTCTATAAGTGAAGCTTTTTCTAAAGTTGCATCTTTTCCAATATTTTAATGGATTTACTCAAGTTAGATTTATAGATGCATTTCTATTTTGAAGTATTCTTTTGATTTATACTTTTGATAGAAAATGATTCATGACTCTTTTATGATTTAAATTTATCCTTAGAAGTCTTTACATCTACATTTGAAGAGAATAATTTTAAAAAAGTAGCAATGTCAAAATTCATATCTTTATGACAAAGATCACATTCAACTGCCATATATGCTACAAAATTCCAAAACCTTATTTTCAATGCAAATTGAAATGACAAAGTCCTTATTAATGAATTTTAATATGTGTTGAAAGATAATTTCAAAGATTTATTGTTAACAATTTTGAAAGTAAACTCATTGTAGCAATTTATTATTGAAGTGATCACATGCATCAATCAACTCTTTGAAAGAAGCCAAGAACAAAGGTTTGGTTGAAGAAGTACAAGTCAAGTCATGGCGATAATTTTTAAGTTTGTAGAAGCTTATTCATCAAAGTTGGAACCTATATAAATTGACATAGTACATTTCAAATCTCTTTGTGAGCAAGAAAAGATTCAATAATGTTATTAAAGATTATGCTTATATTGTAAAAAATCTAAGCACGGCGCTGAATATTGTCATAGAAGCAACACAATTATAAAATGATGAATATGATTGCCAAATAAGACAATGTATCAAAGAATAATGTTTCTTTCAGCTATAATAATGATCAAGCAACTGGAACCAAATGCAACACCTAATAAAGGTCTTATTTTCTTTTTGAATCTCTTATCTTATTTTACAATAGATGTATATTTATGACCTTAAAATCACAAAATATTTGTATTATTAGATTCATCTACTTCAACTTATTTTATAGACAAAGACTTTTTTAAAAAACAAAAAATATCATTAATCAAGAAAACTAAACCTATATTTCTAGAAGACATAGAAAATTGTTTGTTGTCTTCTAGAGATGTTACTCATAAGACTGTTCTTTTAGATTTAACAATTAAAGATTATAATAGAATAATATTATTTAATGTGATAAGATCTTCTTCTAATTAAATTATTTTAGGATTATTATAGTTTAAAATATATAACCCTCAAATAAATTAGATTTCTTGTAACTTTGAATTCAAGGTTAATCTAAAATTTTGTTAGTCAAGTAGAAATACATAGGTCTAATACATTCAAACTGTTACTAGTAGATACAAGAGCTTTCATCCATGTGGCAAAAAAAAGGTCATCTTGTGTTATATATGTTATGTCTATTTCTGATAGTAAAAAGATATCAAGTGGTATTCCTATCCAATATCAAAGTTTCTTAGATGTTTTTAAGAAAAATAAGACAAATATTCTTTATGAATATTGATCCTATAATTGTTCAATTGATCTTCAAGAAAGAACTCAACCACCTTTTGGACCAATCTATAGCTTATCACGGAATGAGTTGGTTGCATTAAAAGAATACATTCACTAGAACTTAACTAAGAACTTCATATGCCATTCAAAATTTCCAATAAGAACTCTAATCTTATATGTAAAGAAAAAAAATGAATCATTATGGATAAGCATAAACTACCAAGGACTTAAGAAGATCACCATTAAGAATAGATATCCTTTACTTTTGATTTTAGGACTTTTTGACCAATTCAATCAAAAAAAGATCTACAAAAAAATAGATCTATGAGAAGTATATCACTTAATCTGCATCAAAGAAGGAGATGAATGAAAGACTACTTATTGAACTAGGTATGGACATTTCAAATATAATATCATACCTTTTAGATTCACAAATATATTAATTACTTTTTAATATCTTTTGAATGATATTTTTTGTGAATTTCTAAATGATTTCATTGTCTGCTACTTAGATGATATTTTAATCTACTCTACAAACACAAAATAGCATGAACTTCATGTTTTTTATGTATTACAAAAACTTAGAGATGAAGGACTATATGTCAAGATGAAAAAGTATGTATTACATACTATTCAAGTTGACTTCTAAGAATATATAATTTTTATCAAAGGCCTTATAATGGATTCCAAAAAGATTCAAACTATTATGCATTGAAAGATTTCAAAATTAATTAGAGATGTGTAATATTTTTTAGAATTTTTTAATTATTATTGAATCTTTATCAAGATTTTTTTTCAAGTTGTGGCTCTTCTTATACATTTGAAATGTAAAGACAAATTTAAGTAGAATAAAGAAGCTAAAGCATCTTTTGAAGCCTTAAAGAAAGTATTTATTTCTGCACCAATCTTATATCATACCAACTTCTTTAAGGCATTCTTCATGGAAATAGATACATCAAACTTTGCTATAGATGCAATTTTGTCACAAATAGATGGAGATGATAAGTTCAACTTAATAGCTTTTTATTCTAAGAAATTTTCAATAATCAAGATTAACTACAAGATCTACAATAAAGAACTTCTTGTAATTGTGGATTTATTTTAAGAGTGGCATGATTATTTAGAAGGCACTTCTAATCTAATTACCATGTATATGAATCATAAGAACCTTGAGTACTCCATATTGGCATGTGTTTAGAATTATTATCA